TCCCTATTATCATCGAAAGTTGATGAGAGTGAAAGAGAGCAGATACCTTAGTTAATATATAGAATACCTTTTTTTTTAAGTATGTAGAGCTATCCGACTCGCTAAGCGAGTTGATAGAAGTATTCTTAAGTCTATCACAACCATCTCTGATGTGCCTCCGATTCAGCTTAATCTCCTTTCCTTACGGAGATTCTTGCTCAAAAGGTTCTGCAAGGCTAATCGTACGATACCTTGGTTCTATATTTTCCTTTCTTTGTGTCAAGGCATTATCTGGAACCCAACTTACTTGGAAAGCCATTCCGTCCAGGTCGCCGGATCGGAGGCGTCAAGGTCTCTTTTACGAAGATACATTGGTTTCTTCTTTACGCACATTCAAGTGCAACGGTTTCATTGAATCTGTCTGTCACTGAAATGGACGTCGAAGGGTATCCATTGTGGTCTCATTTGGTTCGTTCGTTATGCTTACGATCCAAATAACGACTTACTTTCACAGACTTCTTGTGAGGAGTCTATTAAGTTTCTTCGTTCCAAGCGTTTTCTCAGCCTACCGAAGACACCTTCCGGTATGGTTCTCCTGGTCGACTGGCATCTTAAACATATGCGGGAGCAGGGAAGAGGCGGATATTCGCTATTTGTAACTACGTTAACCAAAGGCTCTTGAAACTCCCATAGCTTAGGGGTCAACTCCTGCTATTGGTTCAACCCAAAATCTTGGTAGTCGAATAGCCTCGTTCCTATCTTCAGGGAAGAGATTTTCTCTTATCTTAGAATTAGGTCTATCTATTCTATTATATATTAATATATATATAGATAACCCATACGTAGACGAAAGTAGCATTCAGGCATCGGTGGAAGCGCTAAGCGAAAAAAGTGAAAAAGCTTTGAAGCCGATCGAACCGAGAGTAGCGGATTAGCGGCTGATCTTCTACCTGATCTATCTACCATATTGATGTATTAGAGAGACCGAGTTACTACGAGGGAAGAAAAGATGAACCAGCTCTATCGATTAAAAAATCCCTGTACCTTTGTGAAAGACATCGCATGGAATAGCTTACACGGAAAGGAGCTTGGTACAAGCTCAGATTAAAAATATAAGTTCCTGAGCTAGAAGGAATGGGATCAGGGGTGGGTAATAGACTGACTGCCAAGGAGCGGAGCAGCTCGACCCTTATATATTATATAAATAATTAAGGCAAGCAAGGTAAACAAACCCCCACGCCTCCTATTTCTTAAGGGGGGGCTTTTCTTTGACGCGCGCATCCGTTTTCTTGCTGGGAGAGGAGTTCAGCTGCTAATAAGTGAAATAAAAGAGCGGACCGCAACAACAACTAGACCTGAGAAAAGAGCAGCTTTCAGGCATCCTCTCATTGAGGAGGTCTTAGATAGAAGATGAGCCGACGGTAGGACTCTCTTAGAGTGTGGGAGTATAACAGTAGCAGCAGTTATGGCCCCATACCCATGAGCATTGGCGTGAGCAGCTAAGCTAAGGTCGGACAGGAAGAATGGGTGGGCTTACAGGCTACCTATTTCCTCAGCCGATAAGAGAATCTGTCTTCAGCACAGATCGAGGCTTGTCGAAGAAAAGTCTCAAGTCCTCTATCGCTGGACTAGACTAGATTTCGAAGATTGAGGAGTGGCAAATCTCAATGGAATTCCAGAACAAACTCCCAAAAGAAGGGTAGTCAAAGACTACCTCTTTCTCCTGGCCTGGCTGGCTCTCCTACCTGGGATCCCAACTATCATCCATATCCGTTTACCCTACCTGCTATCGACAGTCCTTCCACCTGTTACTCACTCTCCGGAGGGAGATGGATGGATCGTGCTTGTGCTATCAAGCCTAAAAATGATTTCGAGCGGTATTCACGGAAATTAAAAAGATTGAATGGTTGTAAACAGATTCGCTAGTTGGGTCAATTGGCACTCTTTCACTAGTGATTGTAAGCTAGGTGCCCTTAAATAAATGACAGGAGGGGAAGAAGCTCTAACGGAAGCATCCAATCAACCGGGAATCCCACCTTTCAGATTCTACATCTGCTACTGCTGGAGTGGAGAATGCCTCTACTACCTGTGCCAGCAAACTTATACTAAAAATAAGAAAAGGCTAGGTGTCCATGCCACCAACCAACTCCTGAAAGAAAAACAAGCCCCGGCAAACCACTAGAAGTTACCCATCGAGTCGAGCAATGATCCAATTGGAGAAGCAAGCTGCTCGGAAACACCCCATTTCCCAAGACGTAACTAGACCAAGAAAAAGCTCCAAAGAAGAAGAAGGACTGATCGCAATCTCAGGTACAATGGCTAGTTGGAAAGCCTTTTCAAGCCAATCTCTTGATTCACATTCATGTGAAACCGTTGCAACCGATCCTGCATACCAATCATCCGCCGCTTACAGTAATGGCACTAAGCCAAGGTTTCTATGGATTCAGTCCTAGTTAGAAGGAAAAAGACATATCTTAGCTTAGGGCAATTCAGTTAGTAGTGTCACCGGTCAATCCTTGGGACACTAGCGAGTCCGTCCTTAAAAGCCCTCAAAATGGGGTCCATGAAGCCTTAGATACTCCAAGCCTCCATCTTTATTGTCCCATAACCTAGACCATGGAAGTATGGTTATAGTCCCATTCCATTAGTGGGATCCATAGCCTACGGGTCTTTCCCAAGCCAGTCAATTAAGAAGGTTTTCGAGGACTACCCTAAGCCTACAAAGAAGTAGGCAGGACTTTCAGTTACAATGTCTAGGTTGGGCAAGCTTGGAGATAGAGGGTTTTCTGGGGGAGATACAGTTTCCAGGTTGGATTTTTTAAATAGGACTAGTTGGGGAGATAGAGGTGGTGAAATCTAACCTTTGCATTGATGTTTGGCAGGGCGGGTCGCTTGAGTGTCAAAACCAAACCCAGCGGTGGTTGTTTTTCCTTGGCTTATCGAACCAGCGTATGCCCATTCCTCCTTTTATGACTCCCAGTAGAGAAAGCCTAAGCCGATGTGGATTGAAAGGAGGGGATGGACATAGATCCTTCCGCCTATCCGGAGTGTAGGAAATAAAGCAATGGTTTTTTTATTTCTTATTTCCCAATCACTGGAAGCAATCTTTACTGGTACAAGGATCTCCTCACAGCAACCTTCACTACGATAGAACCCGACAATGAGTTTACGAAGGCTTCGAGTAGTGCGAGATAGGCTAATCACCAGACTGCTCTGGAATAGGTTAATCGCCGGAGACAAGAACGAGTGAATTGAATCTTGTTTCGCGAGCATGCCTTACTATAATAGGGGGCGCAGAGTTTCTAAGTGAAGGCAAGCGCAACTATCTATTTCATATCCTCCCTGTCAGAAAGTCATCAAGAAGGGAAAGCCGACCAAAAGACTATTCCATAACCTACTCTTGTGGCCGAATCGAGGGGGCTTGGCTTGTACCAGGCTCTAAAATAGTTTTCTTCAAGCGAGCAGTCTTTCTATCTTTTTGGGTTGCATGCCCAAGGCAATGTTTTTTGTGTCAGCCCTGAGATGGATTGGTCTTCGCTATCGTGCCTCTTCCTTGTACCAGTTGATGCAGCGGCAGTGCCTAATATGAGTTTGCTCCTGCCCCAGACAGCTTCGAGGTTCCCATCGATCGATTACAGAGGTTTCAACCACTGAACTTGCTTATGCTCCCTTAGATCCGTAGATAAAGGTAGAGCCCGGACCCGGATGTGCTCGCTTTTCGCTCCTCTCACATTCGTTCGAGCTGCTTCCAAAGGTGAGAAAGCCAGTTTATCTGAGCTAGGACACATGTCCGGAAAAAAATCCGAGGTCTATGATGCCGAACCGACATCCCTGTTTGGAATAGGATTTTCTTGAAAGGGACCGGCTAACCACTCGCTCTCTCAGTCGAGCAAACCTTTAGCTTTCCTTTGACTTGCGGATACTTCCTTGCGAATAAGGACGGACTATAGTGCTACTGCTAGAGGGGACTCTGCTAGGCTTGCTAATTCGATCCTTGTCCGATACGGCAGCTGGATCACCGCCTTTCCAATCAAAGAAAGGACTAGTATAGCAAATCGATCTATTCAATAGCATAGAGAATAGTACGTTTAGAATGACAAGGGCTAGGGCTAAAGCAATGAGGATTGGATTTATATGGATTTGGGTTGTCTCCCGCTACACCTTCACAGCAAGGAAAAAATCTCATCTTCATATCTTAATGGGAACATTCGGTCATAGGCCATTTCCCCTTTCCATCCCATTGAGCATCTTGTTCTCCTTTTCACATGAGAGCCTATTATCTATGATCCCTGATCTTGCCGCTTGAAAAGGGCCTTCTTTAAGGAATAGAGCCAAAATCCAGGTAATAAGATGCATCAAGCCAAGCCTCACAGCACAGGAGAGGTTTAGGAGTAGGAAGATGAGCTTTTTTATAGATGGTCAAAGCGCTCAAACCTGCTTACAGGACGAATTTCTTTGAAAAGGAGATAGTACCAAGTCAAGATACGAAAAGATGTGCTGCACGACTCAGTTGACCACAAGGGGCATAGTCAGGAGGGTGTAAAGGACTGGAGATTGATCACATTATCCTTCTTCCATTAGCTCCTATTACAGGTTTTCCTTTGAGATACAGTCATGACGGGCCACTGCCTTAAATTGTTAGGGTATTTTTTCTATAATGCCCTTCTCACGATCTAGCCCCTTGTCTATATCATGGTCTGTTTTCATATAACCTTACTACTGTATGGCTTGCTAAATAAAGCGCTGTGGGATCAATCATTGCATTTATCCATTCATAACCATCATATACGCTCTTTCAAGAAAAGGGATAGAATGACAGTCTATCAGTCTTACCAGCATGCATACAAAAGGGAGTGTAGTTGCCTATCAGCTGGTTAAACAGATAAGATTTTTATTTATTATATAAGGAATAAGGATCCCATATCGATCGAATGAAGATGGATGGGTTTAGATAGGTTCGTTCCAACCTGCTCTTTTGGACCATGAAAGAAGCAGGATCCAGCGCTGCGCTGTTAAACGACTATAGTTTCTACTTGTTAACGATCAGGTAGCCGCCTAATAGAGTGAGTGACGGATACGGATCCATACTCCCGGCAGGATGTCGAAAGAGCTAGTTAAACGGTGGTTTTGGCCCCCTGCTGCAAAGCTAGGATCCCAAGGATAGGCATTGTTCGCCTTGTGCTTGGACCTGCAAGGAGGAAGAGATAGCACAGTCTTATAGGGGGCCTCGCAATCAGTTGAGGGGAGGGAAAAATAAACCCACTGCACCCCTTGAGTAGGACAAGAGAGGACTCCTTACTCTATCCTTATGGGAATGTCATTGCATGAAGGGACCTTGAGGGTTGGCTTACTCTACGTTCGAAAGAAGTATTACATCAACCATAGATAGGGAGCAAAGTCAGATTGGTGTCATAGCAAGAGTTAGGCCCTTCGTATCCACCAAATTGGTCGTATACGGGGACCTTCTAAATCCAAGGGTTATTTTTGGCCGTGCTAGAGCCAAGGAACTCAACGAAAACAAGCCAGTGATGATTGTGCTTGGAGCAACTACGATCGGTTTATTAATGCCCGCATAAACAATATCAATCACAAAGACGAAAGCAAAGACTTCTTTTTTTCTGTACCAGCAGCCCGGTAACAAAAGAAAGGAGAGAGAGCGAGGCTCGCTTACGTAAGGGGATAGGGGAGAAGGTAGCCCAATAAGCATCTAAGTAAAAAAGAGCGAGAGACTGCCCGTACCATAATACGCTCATTTCTTCTACGTTTTCATACGTTTTAGTGCCTGAGACTAGTATATCATAGTTGGTCTTTGACCGACGAACGTATAGAGTGGGAAAATGGACTAATTAAATTTAGTGGACTAATGAAGCGGTTGGCGCACGGCAAGCTGGCCTATTCTTCTCCGAGGTACTATACATATGGTATAGAAAGAAAGCAATATATGGTAATAAAACCAATTAAGTGTAAGGAGTCAATCAACCCGCCTTGTAGTTCGAGCGGCCCTTCTTGGTCCCAATATGAAGAAGCAGCTGGTTCGTCTGGTTAGGCTTTCAATTGCAAATCCATATATGAATCCATCAGTTCCGATTGCTAATGAAAGGGCTAAACGTACCAATAGCTTCAACCGGGCATTAGATGAATGTGCTATGCGAAAGAACGCAGCTTGAAAAGGCATATCTTTCACAGCTATATTCAAATCTGTGGTCGCTTAGGTCACGAACCGCAAGCAAGACTATTTCGAAGCAAAGAGTTGCCTGTCCACTACGAGATTCGATATAATGTCCAGATAGCTCATCACACCTAAACAAGAGCTGAGGGCAGCTTCAGACTGACTAAGCCGGCATAAGTTCCCAGACTAGAGCCGCACCACACACATATGATGGCCTACCAGCACCATACGCGGCAGCAGAAGGGCAGCAAGATTCGGAAGATAGTAAGCACTTACCGCAGCAGTGGAGAGGACTGTTCGTATAGTAGTAGGTTTGACAACCGGCTCATCAACATGCCATTAAACGCAAAGAAAAAAGCCGTCACGTAAATCCCTTCATTCAGCTCTAAGCGAGAAGTCAGAAAAGACTGACTCATAAGATCAATTGACGATTCTGATGGACGAAAGACTTTGCTTTGTATAGGCGCCACTCATACTTAAAAACATAATAAGTATCTTCCACAAAAGGTGTTCGAAAACCAGAAGCCTGTGGCAGACTTCGCTGATAAACCTCTTCACGATTGCAGAGAGAACACTATTGAAAAATCTCATTGCGATAAATTTACTTTTAAAATAGGAACTCGCCTAGCCTATATGAATGGATTCCGAGATGAACCCTTGAGAAGGAATTTTTTCGTGTCTTAGGGCCTTGAAATAATAGGTTTTTTGCATCAAGAGGCTGTGAGGAAATAAGTCACATAGTTAATAAGGAAGGGGTATGCATCTTATCATCTTATATTCTAGAATAAGAAAGGAAAGAGAAAGGCTGCACATGAATCTGACTGACGAAATGCCTGTGGAATGTCCATCATCGAGAAGAAGTCGATTCGCTGAAGCATAAAAAAAAGAGAAGGAAGAAGAGATCTTATTAGTTTAGTTAACCCTTGGGCCAGCCCTAAGCCCAAAATCAAGAATGCGCTCTTCTCAAGCGAATCCAAATAGGTGTTGGTTTGCGCAATGGAATAAGAAGGGGTTGCGCACGAAGAAAACGATCTTTAGCAGTTGGTTTGAATCGAGCAGACATGATCAATAATTTTAAAAGAGAGGACAAGGGATGCTTGTTCGACCTTCGGGATAAACGCTCTTTGAATGGGTTCTTTGACAGATTGCCTTGCCGTTGCGCCCCTAGCCCCTAATATTACTGGATTTCCAGTTGATGGGGAAGGCTTGGCAAAGAAGCTTGTGTCGGAATCGGAAGAGAAGTGGAAAACTAAGCTGTTCGGGCTTAACCTGAACCTGACCTAGTAGGAGTCAGAATAAGGTTGAGGCTTTAAGACAAGCAACTGACATCTCGGATCTTGCCATTGCCAGGAGCATGGATGCCGAGAATGCCCTCAGTCTATGTCTGTCTATATAGGCTTAAAGGAAAAAGGCAAGTAAGCCGTAAAAATAAAGGCTTTTAAGGACCTTCGACTGCTTATAAATAAGCTAATAACAGATCTTTTGCGTCTTTCGAGATGCGAAGAGAAGTAATAAGGTTATTGGGATAACGAAGATATGACCATATTTAAGATCGATTTTCAACAGACGAGATCGGATAGTAGAATAGAGAGAAGGATTTGCTGCTTTCTTAAAATGATAGAGAGTCAGGAGAGGGTCTATGTTAATAGAGCTCTTTAGATAGGGAGAGGAAAGACGTAACTAGACCGCAGAAAGAATAGAATCTTTTACCGCTACATCAGCTGGAGAAGAAAACTCTGCAAAGGAGATTCCTATCCTTTCTCTAGTTGAAGACTAATCTGGATATTCCCAAAGATGCTTGACTTCGAGTTCTTGGAGTGACAGCTTTGTAAACAAGGGTCCCCCTTACTCTATAACTTTTCAAATTGATCTGAAAGAAGTGACAGAAGAAAGCTACGGGCATATACCCCCGCCCCGGGGGAACAAGTGCCACCTCAACAGCTATATTCTAAATCGTTAAGCCTCGCAACCCTTTCCTTTGTATCGGACCTTTCCCGCTTTCCTTCCTTGGCTAGTTCAAAAAGGCTTTTTCCACTTTGCTTTGTTCATACAATAAGTCATAAAGAAGTTACAATTAAGATTCATAAGACTTCCCGCTCGGAATCGGAATCGGAAGAACTGGCTTTTCAACTGAAAGGAGGTGGAAGCTCTACTAAGACGGAGATGGAAAGGAGGGCACTTAGCTCGGCGTTAGGTAGTTAGGAGCGAAGGTAGTACGAGGCAGAGCCAAGACTAAGAGAGGATGGAACCATCAATACGTCAAGGAGAGAGTTTAACTCTTGCCAGGTGGGTTACTTTGACTTCGGGAATAAGATTGATAGCTTTTTTAATGGGGCGAGGCTAACGGTTCCGATAGAAAGCGATGCCTACTAGACTGGCTCGAATAAGCCTTTAAATAGTCTCATAGCTTCTTCACCTAGCAGAAGCAGAAGTCAGAGACGCAAGGAAAGAAAAAAGCTTGTCCGAGGCAAAGAAAGCCTAAACCTTCACTAGATAGAGTTGGAGTGATGAATCCTGGCCCTCAAACCCGAGCCTTGTAACAATTTTCCGATTGAATTAATAAAATCACGTCCTTTCTGATTCCTCAATATTACATTCTTTTCTTATTCTCATCCAGCCCTTCACTCTCTCTTTGTTTTGCATTCTTATTTTCTTTTCAATAAAGAAAAGAAGCCCAAAATACAAAGGTAAGCTGAGTAAGCAGACAGTACCTATCTCCTGTTCTTGTTAGTTATTGGCGTGTGAGCCCCATTCCTTCGCTTCAAGTCGGTGAAAGACCCTCTGATCGATCCTCTTTTAGACCCTCGTCTTCCCAAAAAAAAGAGCTCCCACTCTCAGGTCAACCCCGAGGTCAGCTATAGTGACTAATTCCCCCGGTCACTAGTAGGTTGTACGTATTGCACTTAGTTCTCTCTTGTTACCATCTTAGACTCCGAGTTCTTCTAACTGATGACAAGTATATCTAACTCTAAAAGACCTCGCAACTTGATTAGGCACCTTGCTTCAGCTGCTTTCCTTATTTCCTTACTAAACTTGCCTCACTGGCTAGATACCTTCCCAATACTTGACTTGAATGTGAAGGGATAAAAAGTACGTACTTGCTGCTTGAGAGCTTTCCCACTTTCAACTGACGCGTAAACTATCTCCCTCCCCTATAGCGAGCTAAACCATTCCTACTCTACTACAGCTACAGTATTAGTTTGTTTGCTGGCACAGGTAGTAGAGGCATTCTCCACTCCAGCAGTAGTATATGTAGAATCTGAAAGTGAAAGGCGGAATTCCCGGGTAATCCTGCAGGCTCCAGCTCGGAGGCTGTATAGGAGACCATGCTAGCCTCTTTGAGGCACTCCTCACTCCTATTCCTGCTACTTCCCTAACTCACAGCAAGCGTTGGTAGTGACATTAAAACCTGAATCAGAAATAATATAAGGTATGAGATGCTACGAATAGAAAGAAAAGAGAGACAAAACAGTCAATGTTGAGTTGAGCCATCGACAACTCTCGTGCAAGCACAAGGAGGAGTAGCCCGATGCTTGTGAGTGACACGGATAAGTGCACTTTTTATTTATATATTATTATCTTATCTAAAGAAAAAGTTAAAAAAAAAGTTCGGCGAATAGACCGATTTGAATCGAAGACTCAACACCGGCGTGGCCTTTCCGGATGTTTTTGATTAATAGGAGAGAGGAGGAGATGAAAAAACTTTCCCTATCACATACTAATAGCACCATAAGTGCAACCAGTCTGCGGAAATTTTGATAGGCTTACTTAATGCTGACCGCAGAGACTTAGACCCTCAAGACCTTCTAAGCCGAGTAAGGTCCGCTGGGGAATGTCGAACCGTTTGGATAGCAAAGGAAGAAGATCAGGAGGATGACGGCTAGGCAGACTACTCGCTGGCAATTAATGACTAGTTCCCGGAACGGTATCAAACCGGGGAAGGCAAGAGCGATTGTCTTCAAAGGAATTCCCCAACTGGAGAAGGATCGTTACTTTGAGTCCTAAAAGCACGGCAATCCTATTTTTTTGACAAAACGACTTGGTCTTTTAGACATCAATGGTTTAGGATAGGTTTCCCGCCCCGCGATAAACTTGGCACCTCATCAATAGGATCCAAACTTGGTGTAGTTTTTTTTCTTGGGGATAGTAGGCTCTGTTCTATCGAGGCAGAAGAAAAAGAGCGAAGTTATTCTCTTAAGGTCAGAATGAAGAGAAAGGAGAAGAGAAAGGAACAGCGCCGTCGTGGCTACAACCTAGCTTGGGAATCTGTCTGAACCAGGGAAAGCAGAGTGAACAGCTTCACATCTTACTGACAAGGTGTGTGCCCAGCTAAAGGAAGATCATCTTTCTTCATTGCTAGGATCAACGGCAAAGATCCCCCTAAAATATGATTTAGGGCTCGAGCCTCGGGGTCTTGGAACTGATTGAAAAAGGGAACTTTGTTACAACTTCACCTACCACCAACCCAATCCTACCTAAAAAACAAGGTAGATTTCGAGGACGTGATCTAGCTTGTTTTCCTGCCAAGAGGCCTGCTTGGTTCCCGGTTTCCCGTTCTCTTTTTGTTGTCTAAGGCTAAGGCGAATTCTATGGTCATTTTTTCCCTATAATGGAGCTCTAGTTACTATCATACCATCGAAATAGACAAGAGTTTTGGTATATCTTCAATCAAGTATAAATGTTTTCTATAAAGTAAAAGAAAGAAGTACCCCTCCCCGAAGGTCAAAATCATGCTTTTCAAATGCAAGGCAAATAGTTAGTATCCGGGCTTGCACCCCCTAGAATTCTTTATCTCACTCGGTACCTTGCTTGACTTGAGGGCACGGCACTTACTTGCTAGTAAAAGTATTCATATCATAAGAAATCACTATTATAAATGTCTCCTTATGGTTGAGGTGGGAGTCCGTCTTTATAACCCAATAACATAACCCTCTCCCCTTTGTGGGGGTTAGGCCTATTCGAAAGAATAAGTTCTTTCACAGGTATGGCAGAGTAGGAGGGGTAGGCCATGGGCTTTGCTTAACGAATTAATTTTAGTTTCTTTCCTTTTCCCCTGTAGATTGGTTGGAGCAGGAACTCAGAGTAAGATTGCTATCTAATAAGGGGGAACTCTATTTTAGAAAGAGCAAACTTCATTCATTGAACGCAAGTAAGCGATAGGCGATGTGGCATACCGTTTGGCTTGGCACTACCTCCAGCGTTCTCCAGAGTTCACAACGTATTCCACGTATCCATGCTGAGGAAATACGTACCGTCGCCAGAGCATATCTGGTTGATAGAGGATGTGGTTGTAGATACGAATTTAACTTATAAAGAACGCCCGGAGAAGATTGTTGACAGAAAGGATCAGGTACTCAGGACGCGCACAATTCCATACGTCAAAGTTCAGTGGAGGAATCATTCCGAGCGCGAAGCTACATGGGAAGACGAGGAGAAGATGCGGGAGGAGCACCCTCACCTTTTCGACACGCCAGGTAAGAGTTTTGTCCTCAAAACTCACACTTAATGATTTGAATCGATGTGGATATAGTCTCGCACCTTTCTTTCGGTTTTCCAAGTATCTCTCCCTCGGTATGGTCGTTCCCTTGGACCCTAACATAAAGGGTCGTGTGCCATCCTAAGACTCAATCCCCTCTGTACACCAAACGCTCTGGGCACTTCTCGTATGAGGGGCTATGGTTGGTTTATACATATGTTAGCTGCACTACCTAATCAAGGGAGGGTGTGAACTTCCTTGACATAGATATGAGAATTGCGTTATGAATTCTTCAAAGGGCCGGTGGGGCTAATCGATAAGCAACATCTCCTACTCTGCTTTAGAATTCCAAATGGGCCGAAGAAAGGAAAACGAAACCTGACTTTAATTCCAAGTCTCATTAATTCCTTTGAACGCTAAACTTTAGATAATACTTGCTTCGAACTCTAAACTACGCGTACGCACAAGGGCACGGTCCGACTGTCTACTCTGAGCTGCCCGAAAGCCATTCGCAAACAATCTTGACCTATCCTACTATTGCTGTATCCATTTCGGACTCAGATCGATCTCTCTCTCATGTTATCACCACAACTGGGTCTACCCGGTCGTATATAGCTGCGTAAGGCACTTTCTGATTACTCGCCTGATAGCGGTCATTATATGCAACTCTGCCACAAGCGATAGTCTCTGTCTGATTCTGCCGACACGGGCGCTCCGTGCCTCTTTACTATCTCATCGATGCACGCACATCTCGGCGAGTTTCGCGAAAGTAGTGCGGGTCTGGTTTTGAATGAGAGGAAAAGCGTTGATTTGGTCTCTCTATTTACAATGCCCAAACAAATAGGATCGTACCCCTTCACCGTACGGGGTGAACCTGAAACGAAAACCGTCGCTAGGTGCTCTTATTTCCACATAGGATAGGCAAGTGTGGTAATAACCCAGTAGGCCTCTGGTGCGGGGTCTTAACTTATTGGCATACTAAACGATCGGCCACTACGGTGCCGAAGGTTCGGAGGACTCCTCCACGAATGGCCTATCGTATCACTGCTGCTAGTCAGTCTGGTCCATTCTACTATCGCCTCTGTCTTCTTGGGGGTCTACGGCAATTAATTCAATTTTTAGATACAACACGTCCCATGAACGGGACTCCCTCGAGTCGAAATTCGCATTTGCTAAACTAACACAGAATCCTCCCTGTCTCCAGGTTTCTAAGACCCCACTCAACAAATTTCGCTCGTCGCCAAATCAAGAGGGTACACTAGATCGTCATCTATAAAGATTACCAGGCGTGTAGCCAAAAGGGCTTGGACACCTAATCCATAAGGTCCACGAAAGACTGGGCGTTGGTCTGATCATATGACACCACTATGAACTCGAAATAACATTACACATTTCGGAAGGTCGACTTTTGCACATCACTCTACTTGAACCTAGACTGATAGTGACCCGAACAGAAGTCGCTCCTGGAAATATCGGGCTCCTTACGACTGATTGAATAAGTCATCTATTCTAAATAGCAGTTACATGTCCTTAATAGTAGCTTCATTCAATCATCGGTACATATCATATACCGGTCCCAAACATTTATTCTTATGCTTAAGTAAGATAATTTCCCAGTTAGTATCAGATGATCGGTCTCTAGTACTCGTTCAATGCACTTGCTATATCTTTCCATAGGGGGTCTTAGAAGTGGGTCCCGCTCTCGGAATCGGAACCAAAACGATAGCAAACTCTACTACTCACTCAAGAGGCATCGGTCATTACTCCGGGAACATATCTGGGAATCCTTATTGATATAAGCATATTATAGTGCTCGAGTTTCCACCGTAAGATCGCGCACTGAAGTTAGAAATCCTTGTCATCCTTTCCTCAATGAGTAGCCCTGAGTGTCCATAAGGCACGAGGCAATTACAATCTAGCGCCTTAGAGATTCAACTTAGACTGTCTAGAACTACGGAAGTCAACTCTCCCTTCTTATGTATGGCATTCCACTAGTGCATTGAGAGCTAAACGTCTCTAGGGCAATGCCAAAGTCTGTTCTTTCTACATTATGGAAATTGGCTAGGCGTTGCTTGCCCCTGGGTCTAATTGGGCCTAACGCACAAATCTCGCTAACTAAGACTTCATCCCCCAACAAGGGTGTCAACACGTGGTTCCTACTCAAAGACTCCATTTTAAATGTAATCTATCCCGTTTAACACAGGCGACGGGCATAAAAAAAAGGGGTGTTCGCCCCCGAGTCAGATATAGAATCGAAAATCATGCTTTGAATTCTTTCTCCCATGCCTTTCTTCTAACTTAACTAGAAATTGCGTAAGGTAAGAGAAGAAAGAGCAAGTCAAGTCAAATAGTACGCCCGGTTCACCAGCTTCTACCACTGCAGGTCTAGCGCCATAGTAAGGCTTTGATCCGAACCGCTAGCTATATGCTTAACACATGCAAGTCGAACGAAGTTTTCTTTGCTTTCTCTTTCTTAGTCTTTCTGATATCTTTGGTCTTTTTCCCATGCTTTCTGTTGGTCAACAACCAACCACAACTCAATAGAATGAATTCGTCAAGACTCCTACATGAAGGGACTCTCTTTCTGTCCGGAGGGAATCATTTGTTGTCAATCAATCATGCCTCAACTGGATAAATTCACTTATTTCACACAATTTTTCTGGTCATGCCTTTTCCTCTTTACTTTCTATATTCCCATATGCAATGATGGAGATGGAGTACTTGGGATCAGCAGAATTCTAAAACTACGGAACCAACTGGTTTCAAACCGGGGGAAGAAAATCCGGAGCAACGACCCCAACAGTTTGGAAGATATCTTGAGAAAAGGTTTTAGCACCGGTGTATCCTATATGTACTCTAGTTTATTCGAAGTATCCCAATGGTGTAACGCCGTCGACTTATTGGGAAAAAGGAGGAAAATAACTTTTCTCTCTTGTTTCGGAGAAATAAGTTGCTTACGAGGAATGGAAAGAAACATCTTATATTTGATCTCGAAGTCCTTATATGGCGCTTCTTCTTCAAATCCTGGATGGAGGATCACTTGTAGGAATGACATAATGCTAATCCATGTTCCACACGGCCAAGGAATAATAAAAAAATAAATAATAAAGGTATTGCTTATATTAGAATAGTTGCTCGTTCGTTCATAAATTCACTCGACCACTTTTTAGTCTTGCTACACGACACGAGTCTAGGGTGAAGTTGAAGCAGACACGGTCAAGTAAAGTCGACTTCACAAGTGATTCAACATACCATATATATGGATGGAAATTAAAAAGGAGAGAAGGGTCTTATTATAACCAGGTGGCTCCCGCAAGGTAACGACTTAAAACTAAAACAAAGAACGTTCTTCTTCCGATCCAAGGCATGAGTCAAATAAAATGCTGTATGTATTGCAAGACCCGTCGATAAGCTAAGGCTACGACATGAAGGAAGGCCAGAAGAACTAAAGAACCACGCCCACCAGAGCTAAAGGAGACCGAAGGGACTTGCGGGAGGTGAAGGTCGCTGGCTTGCCCGTGGGCCGTGGTATCTGACGGGACATTGGCCTCCCTCCCTTCACCTACGGCTCGCTGTACGTTCCTTTAGCTATAGGCGTGTCCAATCCGAGAATAGTCCGTTCCACATAGTGCAAGGAAGCTCGGTGGGGTTTCATACGAGGGTCCTGCGTACTGTGCCATCGTCCAACCAGTACAGTACGGCCATTTCAAATCGCCCCGCGAAGACGGACGTTCAGAAATAAAGGTTATCGAGAGTATCAATCGCTCTTTTTAGTGGGGAGGAATAGTGCAGGAAGGGAGCGAGACCAAGCCGAGCCACTAGGAGAGTAAGCCCTTCCCACGTGTCAAGTTGAATACATGAATGCAGCCTCCGCCAGAGAGATCAACCTGCGCCTTAGCACAAGCACTAAGTCAGCCTAACAATAAGAAAGGAAGGAAAGGCCTTTGATTTTAGGCCGCTATATACACGTAAGGGTTTTTTTCAGAACGTACTAATCCGCGACCAGCAAGTTTTCCGAAACCGAACTGAATAGAATTGTTACTTTCAAAAAATGCTTGCTGAAAATCAAAGAAAGAAGGTCCATTTTCCCACGTAGTTCGTCGGTCAAACCAACGATTCTCTTCTCAAAGTAATAGAGAGATCTTTTTCTAGTTAGACTTCTATCAATGCAATGAAAGAACCATCCCTTCCTATTTCTTTGTCCTGTCAGATAGAAAGAGAATAAGACCAAAAAGAGCCCTTCTTTACCACTTTAGGGGGTGGGGGTGAAGGGGGGGGTTTACATACAACCGAGGCAAAGTGGTTTATGATTGAATCTCAGAGGCATTCTTATCATTTGGTAGATCCAAGTCCATGGCCTATTTCGGGTTCACTCGGAGCTTTGGCAACCACCGTAGGAGGTGTGATGTACATGCACTCATTTCAAGGGGGTGCAACACTTCTCAGTTTGGGCCTAATCTTTATCCTATATACCATGTTTGTATGGTGGCGCGATGTTCTACGTGAATCCACGTTGGAAGGACATCATACCAAAGTCGTACAATTAGGACCTCGATATGGTTCTATTCCGTTCATCGTATCGGAGGTTATGTTCCTTTTTGCTTTTTTTCGGGCTTCTTCTCATTCTTCTTTGGCACCTACGGTAGAGATCGGAGGTATTTGGCCCCCAAAAGGGATTGGGGTTTTAGATCCTCGGGAAATCCCTTTTCTTAATACCCCTATTCTCCTTTCATCCGGAGCAGCCGTAACTTGGGCTCATCATGCTATACTCGCGGGGAAGGAAAAACGAGCAGTTTACGCTTTAGTAGCTACCGTTTCACTGGCTCTAGTATTCACTGGCTTTCAAGGAATGGAATATTATCAAGCACCCTTCACTATTTCGGATAGTATTTATGGTTCTACCTTTTTCTTAGCAACTGGCTTTCATGGTTTTCATGTGATTATAGGTACTCTTTTCTTGATCATATGTGGTATTCGCCAATATCTTGGTCATCTGACCAAGGAGCATCACGTTGGCTTTGAAGCAGCTGCATGGTACTGGCATTTTGTAGACGTGGTTCGGTTATTCCCATTTGTCTCTATCTATTGGTGGGGAGGTATATGAAGGAACGAAAGAGTGGATTGAGGAATGAAAGCTCGAAGACAAAGAGAACCGGGCTTTTCCAAAGAATTACTGCAGCTTTCCCACTCCCTTTGATTTTAATATACAAAAAAGTCTCTTCCACTATCCTACCAAATCTCTCTTTATTATGGCACATAAATGAAGGGATCGAAGAGATTATTTCAGATTATGTTCACCAAGAAATGACCCGAAATTGGATCTTGGTCTATTTGAGATTTTTCTTTTTAATCGTAATCAAAGATGTTTTCTTGTCTCTCGTTTCTTTTCTGAACAAATCGAAGAACCTAATGGATCGAACTCATTGGATTGGTATCTGGATTTGATGAGGGTTGAAATAAAAGTTGGTTCAAATATATATATAATACCGGACTAGTGAAGGTTGCCATTAGTCGGGAATGAGCGAGAAGAGAAGGCTTCAAGCCCTAGAAGTCAAAGTCGGCTAATCCGCTTTTAAAGTCAATAGAGAGAGCAAGAAGCTGTCCAGAGCAGAGTTAGGGCAAGGCGAGGTTAGTCCAGTTACAGGTTACAGGTAAGCTCATGAATGCCTTATTATATAGATTATAGGGAAGACCTCTTTCAAGCTTTCAAGTGAGTTCAGTTAGCTGAGGGGAATGCTCTAAGTAACCTGTCCTGCCAGTCGACAGGGGGGTTCCCCCCGAACCCCCTCTTTATTATTGTTAGGCTGACTTAAGAGAAGGTTAAAGACTAACAAAGACAGGAAAGGCGGAAAAAGAGATCGGGATGTGAGATTCCTAATTCAAATGAAAGGGATGACCAGAGATATATGCTCACAAGGTGCTTTGCCTGTAATCGATGGCAGAAAGACTAACTCTTCCCCTTCTCTTAGCCCAATCCGTTAGACAAGGGTGCGGTTTTCCTTCTCCGCTTTAAGGCACTCGTTCCTCGCTTTTGCCACAAATGGCACCTACATCTTGTAGGCAGGTTCTCATCTTTTTTTTGGGCCTGCTTGCTCTCACCCGATAAAGCGCGATACGCGGAACCAAGATCGATATAAGATATTGGACGGTCTTAGGGGCCCACGTAGCCCATGCCGGCCTTGCTTGAAAGTCCCACTTATCTTTCATCCATCAACCTTTTTTCCTGACTTTTAGCGGTAGTCAGCTGTCCTTGGAACTATCGCTCATGACTGGATCTTTATCCATACCGAATCAAAAAATGGATTTATGATCCGATCCAATCGAGAACTTCTCCCAATCAACGAGGATGACGCTTCTAGGCAAGATGCCACCGATGACTACCACTGCAGGAGCAAGTCTGAGTGAAAGAACTAAACTAGTGTCAGACTTTATTAGAGAGGGAGGCAACTGAAGCTAGTCGGGTTTAGGTCTTATATTTGCTTGCCTGAATCTATCAACAGGGCTTTCATAGGGAGGTTTTTCTTCAAGTTATCAAGTGATAGTGGAATTACCAACAAAATACCAGACTCTCTGGACTGGCTTTCTCCAACCAAGATAGGGTTTTGTCCATTCCGCTAGGACAGGTCTAAATGCGCTGGATTGATGCACCGGTAGGGAGGACCAAATGCCTAGCCGTCGGGGGTTCTTCCATCATATCAATCAAGCTCAGTCTCCCAACAGCAACAACCAATCCGGGCGGGCGGAATGGCGCCTATACTCGGTCAATGGAGTCAACTGCTGGGACTGGCATTGGATTCGGCCGCCAGTTATTTTGCTATTGGTGGCACATGGTCGTCCCCCTTTATATGGAACTGGTCAGAGAACGAATAGACGCGGGATCGATCTATAGGCTCCGAATATCCTGTTTTGGATCTCTCTAACGGGACTGGAACGGGCGAAGCCATTGGATTGATTGGGCGAGTTAGCCCAACAGGAATGTGGTCGTCTAGATCGTACCTGCGGAAAGATTAGGTGGACCCCTATACATTCATTGATTAGACCGAAACCAATCGAAGCCATGCGATCGATCGAGCTACCCGCATTTTAGTTTTGCTTTATCAAGCAGGGGCTTAGCCGCTTCTTTCTCTTTCTTATATTTATGGCAGCATTGGAAAAAAAAGAGACAAAACGTCGAATGGCTAAAAAGCCCTATTTATGTATGTGGAAAGTCTATACTTAAAACACCGACTCAATTGGAAGCTGAATCCTCACAGGGTTCGAAAGCTTCGAAACCCCTTTTACTACACCACACCTGCTACCCACTTTCTTTGTTATTGGTTCAAAATAGCCTAAACATTCCTTTTCTTATTCTTACTCTGCTTAATCCTATGGCTGCTCTTTAATATGTTCTAAAACCGCCAACCCTTGTTCTTACTTATTCATCGGCGGAGGATAGAGCTTTTATTTATTGTTCTGCTTTCCTATGATATGGATTTGGTTGATTCTCCTGTGGTATCGACTGCCTTTGTTCGGCTGAGACTTCCGCGTCTGCGGATTCTCTAGTAGCTGCTCTAGCGTCTGCTTCGTCGGGTGCTGAATCGGATGCTTTATCTGCGCGGTTTGAAACTCTTTGGAAAAGAAAATGCTTTGCCCAGGAATTCTAGGTTGAAAGCCCTCTCTGACCAAAACCAGGAACGAAAGTCTTGATCCTAGGCTTTGGAATCAATCAAAAGAGCCCGAGCCGAGTAAGGATACAACGCATAAGTATAAGCTGCTACAGCATCAGGCAGGGCAAAGGTACTTTCCAGACCTTAATCTACAAAAGATAGAACCTAAATAAGAAGCCAGGGAGGCCTTATGGTAGAAAAAAGGTATGCAGGGGTTCTGGGTCTATTATAACCAGAAGGGGGGAGAACGGATTTTGGGACGTGTCTGTCCCTATTGATTGGGCTGGTGAAATGTACGACCTCCAACTGAACCTAGCCCAAAAGAGTGTCAGCGAGGGATTAAAAACCTAGTTGATCACTTATTAAGTAAGTATAAAATCTTATTATTTTTTTATTCCCAACATGCAGAAGTACAAAACCAATTAACATAGAAACTAGAGTGAGTTGGATGGAACCTGATGATCTTCGAGGCCGAAGGGAGCTAGAGTTGAAGCTGGCGCGGGAACAGTAGGAGCTCCAGCTCGCTGAATAAGCCACCACAATATAGGAAAAAGAATAAGCAACAGGATAAGGATGTGTCTCAGGTGCGGAGACCAGTTTAGAAGGTGAACCAGCAGAGTCAGATGCAACCGGGCATGAAGCAGCAAGTGCTGTAGATATCTGGTAGAACTTATTCTCGGATATCTTTGGTTAAGTGAGGTGGCGCAACAAGCCGAACCACATGGGTCGAGTACAAAGCAACCAAATATCCGGACTTCGGAGTCGGAATCAGAATTAATAAATAAGAGGTTTTTGTTCGCTCCGCAGGCACGAACTAGTCGAGATGTATGTGGTGCCCTTTCTTTCATTCACATTGGTGAGGTTGCTTGATTGTAGGGGCAGGGGAAGCTGTAGCTTATGGCTTTGGTCTTCTTAATTAAGTAAGTTTCTTTCTTCTTTCTTCCGTCTAGGGAAAGCCAGCCCTTTTCCACTATACGAAAGGAACGAAAGCTTAAGAAGAGCTGCTGTGGTAAGGAATTGGATTGAGAAGCTCCGCCCAGTAGTGCTCTACAGTAGTGCCTTGCGGGGTCGGAGATCATAAAAAAAGAAAGACTCCAATGCTTTTCTGGTCTTTAATGAATTGTAGATAGGAAACCTAAATGCCACAGCTGACTCATAAGAAAGTAATGGGATAAACCTCGTCAACGAGTTGCTCGTGAAAAGGCAAGAGGCCTGTTTTCCGGGGAGTTCCTGCATAAGCTTGCTGCTATATCCTGACACAGCACATTTAAGTAAAGCGCAGTGAACAAGAAACCAGATTTCCGGACAAGCCTGTCACCACTTCTCTCAAAAGCTACTAAAAGGCCCATTCTTCTACGTATAGATAGGGAAGTCGGTGAAAACTAAATAGGAAGCCGATAAATATCCTCGATCATTCACTCAACAAGCACCACCACGACCACGTTCGACCAGTCGATTGCATTACCTTTTAAAAGTGGACTATTCTTTTTAGACATAAAATATTCTCTGACTAAGAAAGAGAGAATAAAGGGTAGTCTGGCCTTAGAAGCTTTAGAGGAGAGTTCCCATCAAGATTAGGAGTCGGCATTCTGTTGATCATATAGGTGGCTGTTAGAACAGCCTCATCCCAATAGATCTTAGGAACCTTCATCCCTATCATGCATGATGGAACAAGTGACCTCTAAGAGATGCCTGCGCCCCCATTTGCCACAATGAGTGCAACGGAGCTTCTCTCTATCTGCAGAAGACATGGGGTCCCGGTCTGGCCCTTACCAGAACTCTGGTTCCCTCTGTACGGTCTAGAATCAGCTACCAGTGCGGACCTCTCTGAAATATTAGAACCCACCACTCATAGCACGACGACTTGCTTCACCCCCTCATGTAAACAGATTCCAAGGAAGGTCAAGTATCCTTCCCTAGTTTGAACCTGCACGCTCTGAAGCTCATACTCAGATCGAAGCCCGGCCAGATACTCGAAGATTCTCCGCTACGAATTATCTTTCCTAATACCTTCCTTCTACTGTGGTCGCTAAGGGCTGATAGTGATCTAATTCCTCCCACTTTTTCAGAGCCGCGTAGTACTCTTCCATGGGCATCTCCCCTTGCTGCATGGTGGAAATCTCCCGATGCAGTTGGTAATTTCGTGCCAAAGAATTTCTCTGAGAATACATCTCTTGGACTGTATCCCATATCTCCTTTGCTGTCCTCAAGAACACCCCTCGCTACGCTAATTGTGGGCTGCATCGAATGAAGAAGCCAAGACATAACCGTCAGATTGTTACTTTCCCAATCCTCATGGGATGGATCATCTGCAGGCGGCTCCTTCTTAGAACCGGTAATATACCAAGACTTCCTTCTGCTCCCTATGAACATCCTTGCCGGCTGAGACCAGGCTAAGTACTTTCTTCCATCCAACTTCACAGTTGTTATCATAAAACTGGGGTGGTCACTCTGCCTGCTTCCCTAGGGTGTGATCGGCTTCTGTAGCAGCTTATGATTCAACTCTAAGACAAGGTGCTACTCTTTTATCACTGGAAAGTCTTCAACTAGAGCGTACAACCTTTGAGGATTTCCTGCTTGCTTTTCCACTTCAATCGTGCAAATCAAAGACCGGGCTAATTGCCCTAAGGCAAAGAACTGATGCCACTTGTCCTTAACAGAACAGAGAACTGTAATGTCTTTACATATATATAGGAAGTTAGGAAGTTAAAGTCTAACCTTTTTATTTCAAGTCTTTCTGCCTTCCTTTTGGAGGTAGGAGTCTAACCAGCAGTTCCCTCATTCCCCATCTCAAAAGAGTTAAAATAAATCTCCTGCAGTGAGAAAGCTACTCTTAAGATCGATATAGCAGGAGGTCAATCAGTGGGCCTTTCTCCCTTTAAAGCACTATTTAGAGCTGGAAAGGCCAATCTATCAGTCAAGGAAAGAATGCAGTATCGAATAAGCCGGCAAGAGAAGTCTCTCTTCAGCCGATATGCGCCAATAAAAGATGTATATGAGATGGGCGACATCATTCGTCATGGTTCCTGGGCAGGTTAGAGCACAACACACTAATAGGGGTTGTTGCTGAAGCCGAGGAACTGAACCAATTACTTTCTTTAAAGGCTGGCATCCCGGACTGATAAAGGATCAACTAGGAAGACTGGGCAGAAAAAGATCTTATTACCCGCAGTAGCGACAATCAGGAACACTACTTCTATAAGATGATTATCGCCATTTTCCTTACAATA